GGCCTCCCCGGTGGTACAGCGGTTAAGCGCTGGGCTGCGAAGCTGCCCACAGCCTCTGCAGCGCTGGTTCGATCCCCAGCCACTGGCGAGGGTCCCACATGGCGCGTAGACCTCTCCTGCCACGCCCAGTGCTCCCCTCAGTAGTGTGCTTCGTCAGTCTGCCTGTTCTGTTCCCTGCTCTGGCTCTGGTGAATTCTCTCACCCTCCCGCGCTTCTGACTGTGCCCAGTGCTTGTATAAATAAATAAATAAATCTTAAAATAAAAGAGAGAGAGAGAGAGAGAGAGAGAGAGAGAGAGAGAGAGAGAGAGAAAGTAACTTGATTCTTCTTATTTGCAGTAATTATGGTCAATAATGTCCCGTAAACATGGCATTAGCAAACACTGAGCCATTACTAGGTTCCTGGGACTCTGCTCCCAACATTTCATCAAAGGGTTCATTCATAACCTTTTATATGTTTTCCTTTTTTTGTTTTATTTGACATTAGAGAGGGTATGTAATCTCCCAGGGTGGTGCAGCAATATACACAGCAATAACATGATCTACCACATGCGCTAAACAGAGAAGTTCAGAATCCCTCTCATTTGAATTTAGGATAAGTTAATGGTGGCTGAAATATTGCAATATATGAAATGTTTCCTATAGGGATTTTCGGAGGGACTTTCTTCGAATTTAATCCATGTAGTTGTAAAATAATCATTGAGTATTGTTGTGGTCAGGATTCCATGTCTATTTCCTCTTTGCTCTTAAACATATATTCTTCTTAACTTCAAAAAGCCAATGTGAGCATCTTTTTTGTTCTATTTTTCCCACCACCTTCCCTTATTTTTCCTAGCCCCTTCTAACTTTCCCCCCTCTTAACCTCAGAACCCTTACTTACTTTATGAATGTCCACTAGTTTTTGTAAGTATTTCACATTGTCAAATCATCCACTATGTGAATGTACAATGTTTATCTTCATCACTCTGACTTGCTTTACTACACATAATTTCCTTGAACTCCCACCATTTTGCTATAATTGACAGTATTTCACCTTTCCTATGACCTCGTAGTGTTCCCTAGTGTGGATAGACCACCTCTTCTTGATGCAGTCTTTTATCAGTGGTTGTTTAGGCTGCTTCCATGTCCTAGTATAGTAAAGAGTGTTGCAATAAGCACAGTAGAGCATGTAGTTTTTTGCAGCGATGGTTTTATGTTCCTTGGATAGATGGCCAAGAGTGACGGTGCTGGGTCACATGGTATTTCCATTTTTTGTTTTTTAAGGTAAGACCAAATTGCTTTCCCTAATGGAAGCACCATTCCACATTCCCACCAACAGTGTAATAGGGCTCTTCTTTCCCTGCATCCTCTCCAGCAGTCGCTGGGGTTTTTTGGAATACATGCCATTCTCTGGGTGGGGGTTGGTATCTTGATGTGGTTTTAACCTGCAGCTCCCTTCTTGAATGTGGTGATGAACATTTTTTCATATACCTATTGGCTATCTGTATACCCTCTTGGTGAAGTACCTGTTCAGATCCACTGCCCATTTATTAATTGGGCTTTTTGGTTTCCTTTTGTTGAATTGTGGAAGTTTTTAATATATCTTGGGTATTAATCCTGATATCTCTCTTTAGTTCCAGTATTGATTATCTTATGTACCTTGGTGCTCTGTCATTTGTTGCATATATATATTCAGGAGTGTCATTTCTTCTTGTATTAGGCCCGTTATCATAATATAGTGTCTGTCTCTGTCTCCCATTACCTTTTTCAATTGGGAATCTACATTATCTGATAAAAATTAGCAGTTCCTGACTTTTTTGAATGCCGTTTGCCAGTATGATTGTCTCCCAGTCTTTAACTCTGTGCTTGTCTTTGTTGATGAGATCAGTGTCTTAGAAACAGCAGAAGGTTATACTTTGTTTGGAAATCTGTTTGACCACTCTGCACCTTTTGACTGGTGAATTTAGTCCATTTACACTTAGGTGATTATTGAGACGTAAGTGATCGTTGCTATTCTGCTATGTTTTTTTAGTTTGTCTTGTATTTTTTTTTTTTAAGATTTATTTATTTATTTATCCAAGCACTGGGTACAGTCACAAGTGCGGGAGGGTGAGAGGATTCACCAGAGCCAGAACCTGGAGCAGAACAGGTAGACTGACGAAACACACTGCTGAGGGGAGCAGCAGGCGGCAGGAGAGGTCTGCGCACCATGTGGGACCCTTGCCGGTGGCCGGGGATCGAACCAGTGCTGCAGAGGCTACAGACAGCTTCGCAACCCAGCGCTCAACAGCTGCGCCACCGGGGAGGCCCATTGTATTTTTATTTTCGAGGTGTTCCTTTTACATTTGTTATTTCTGTTGTCTTATGTGCTACTTCAGTTGATTTTTCTAGGAAGGTTCTGCTGAGGTTGTACGTGATGGACTATTTGTGTGACCTCTTGTGCAGTCTGGGCTCAGACTCCTTCTGACAGGCCACATTGTTAGTCTCCTCCTCCCCGTTTTTTCTAGTAGAACCTCTGTATTTGTTGTTCTGTGGCTTTTTATAATAGCCCCTTTGACAATTCTTTCGTGTGCAGCTCAGTGTTAATAAATTCTCTTAGTTTTTCCTTTTCAGTGAAGCTCTTTCCCCTTCCCTTCTGTCTGGAATGGTAACCTTGCAGAGTAAAGGATTCTGGTGTAGAAATCTTTTTCAGTACTTTAAATATCTCCCTCCATTCCCTTCTTGCCTGTAATGCGCCTATGGAAAAATCCACTGACAGACTAATTTTAGTGTTCCCTCATAAGTTACCCTTTTTTCTCTTGATATTTTTAGTATTGTCCTTGCCTTGGGTTTTCAATCGTTTTATTAAAATGTGTCATGGACTGTGTCTTTCTGGTATGATTTTGTTTGGAACTTTTTGGGTCTCTTAGATGAACACGTATGGTTCATTTCCCAGCTTGAGGTTGTTCTCAGAAATTATTTCTTTAATTCTCTTTTTCTTCTTCTGGAACCCCACAATACAGACGTTGTTTCTCTTTAGGTTATCCCAAAGGGCTCTTACACCATTTTCATTTTTTGAATTCTGGTTTTTTTGTTGTTCTGTTGGTGTGTTCTCTGACACTGTGGTTTTGAGCTCGCTAATTCTCTCCATTACTTGCATTGGTCTGCTTTTGAGGCCCTCTGTTGTCTTTTTTAGTTTGGTTATAGTATGTTTTAGATCTGTCAGTTACGGTCTCAGATTTTCTCAGTATTTATTGTGTTCCTATTTTACATTACCTATCGTATTTTCTTAGTTTGTGTCTAGTTCAGAAAGCACTGATGTAACTGTTACCTTGAGCTCCTCTTCAGGCGTATTCAAGGTTCTTGGATTGAGACGTCTCTTGGGTTTTTGGTTTTGTTTTTTTTTTTTTTTTTTTTGCTTCAGCATTTGTGGTTCTTCTGTCTCTTCATTTTTCTTTTCTGTAGGTTATAGTTGGAGTAAACTTTCAGGCAGCTGCCTTTGCACCTGTTGAAGTGACGAGGGACTGGTGCTGGCAAGGGGTGATAGGCAGAGAGGAACTGGGGCAGTAGGGCACGGAATAGTCACTCCAGTGAGGGTCCTGGGTTCAAGGCTCCCATGTGCTGTGGGTGCCAGGGCAGAGTGCGGCATACAGAGAACCCCTTTGGCCAGCTCCTTCTAAATGTCTCTTGCCGTCTCGCGTCAGCTTCCGTCTTTAGGCCGAGTCTATGCACTAGATACAGCGCTGGGCATGGGTCGAAAAAGAGACAGGGTCATAAAGTAGGAGTCGTTCTCTTCTCTCTTCCAATGCAGAGTCATATCCTGGGGCATTTGGGCCTGTTGTTAACAGGTGCTTAAACTCTGGTTAGTGTTCAGTTGTCTTGGTTTTGCCCTGGGAGGGGCTGGGAGGTGGCAGGTGTTTCGGCTACCCCAGCCCCAGGCTCTTAGTAGTAACCTCTTCTGTGAGGAGACATAGGTAATCCAGCTGGTTCTCCCTGCTGACTGTTCTACATGGGGAGCCTCAAGCCAGTACTCATCAGTCTGCACCCCTGCTCCAATAGTTCTCCAGTATGTACCCTCTGTCTTGACCGTGTTCTGATGTGACATAGTGTCACCCTTCAGCGGATATGAGTCCAGAGTCCTCACTCGGCCACCATCTTGCTGGACTCCTGTGTCTGTGTTTCTATTTAAAGACACCTAATTTAACATCTCGTGGCTTCATTAACATTGACCACACCAGCTGGACGAAGCTGACCTGACACTTGTGGTGTCTACCCAACACACCGCAGCCCCCACACATAGCACACCACACAGCACTGCTGTGCTGCACTGGGGCCATTTTAATAACAAAATCGCCAACAAAAACCACAGAAGTGCAGGAAGCATGATGCCAAATCAGCCACAAAACAGATCATGAGAAACAAGAGACAGACTGTTGCCTTGTCCCGTTTCAGAAAACCTGTGCATTGGGCATCTCAGATGGTGCCCCATTCTGAGCATGTCTAAGGGTGTGCACGGAAGCACACGAGTATTGGTCTGGAGAGAGAAGTAAATGTTAATGATTAGGTGAGAGACAGAATCCACACACAATGAGGATCGACTGTGGTAGGTTGACATTGGCCTGTCACCTCTCCTACATCTAACATAGCAAGTTTTTCCTTCGGTGTTTCAAGGCAAATTGTTCTTTAGGTGAGCACTAGCAGTCGTGGGCTTGCATGTGGAGTCAGGCTGCATGAAACACTAGATCAGAACTTCAGACACGAGAACCAAAGTCAGGAGCATCTTCCAGTGAGGAGGTTCTAACCCCGCGGAAAGCAAAAGTGAACTGGGACCAACTCAAGGATCCGTGGGTTCTGGTCTCTCCTAATTTATCGTGGCATAGTAAATAAAATAATAACAACAAAGAGTGACAGCTAGTGATTCCATAGTGCTCATTAACGACCAGGTCCAGGTCACTTAATTTAGTAGTTAAATCTATAGGAACATAGTCAGACAGTAAATACTTCTGTTATTTCTTAGTGACCACACTTATTCTTTTCCTCTAGTTTTGTTTTCAAGAGATTGACCTGGTGCCCCGGGAAGGAACCTATCCCAGGGGGTTGTGAGCAGCAAGGCGTCCTGGCAGGAAGATTCTGGAAGTTTCTCTCACTCACACCTTCCACAGAGCTTCCACTCCAGGATCCAACAGCATCAGCCGAGCTGAAGTCTTCAGAGAGCCAGGTAACACCTAGGATGACCAGGCAGTAGAGTTCATGGGAGCTTGTCACCGCCTTGAATCTCCTGCTCTCTCTTTTTAAATACTGATTTAAAATAACCATTAATAGCAATTAATACTTAATAAACAGAAATGAAGTGTTTAAAAATAAATATAAAATTTATTTTTTTCTGGAAGCATAATTGACATGTTACATATTAGCTTAAGACATACAACATAGCGATGCAATGTTGTCTCTGTTGCCAAAGATCGCCACAACAGATCTAGTTAACTTCCTGCACCACGTAGTGACAAGAACTTTGTCCTTACGAGGAGAACTTTTAAGATCTACTCTCAGCAGCTTTTAAATTTCTGATAAGCATTGTCATCCATTCCCATATTTTACAATTCATATTTATTTGCTATTTTTCATTAACTCTGACCCTTCTGTATTTTGTTAGAGGACAGGTAATATAAGGTACCAAGGTTTTAGACAGATTTGTAGGAGAAAATAATAAAATTAGTAAATTCCACCTAAAATAAATAAAGAAATAGGCACCGCACAATTATCAGTCACCTCTCTGTACATCACATCCCCAGGACTTATTTTGTATTTGCAAATTTGTACTTTTTGATGCCCTTCACCCACTTTGCCCACCTTTCCTCACCCCACCTCTAGCATCCACTGATCTGCCTTAAAAAAGAAGTAAATTACAGTAAGGAGCACTATTTGCACTGTCCACAGGACAGCGGTGCGCTATTTGCACTGTCCACAGGAGGGGTGAGGCTTTGCCTCAGAGCACTGAGCGGGGTCTCCTCCAGGACCGCAGAAGGAGAGCACTCCAGGGGGCGCCCCGGGAGGCAGACACACTGCAGACCTGTGGCGCTGGACCACGGGCACAAGGGGACGTGAGGGTGCCAGGTGGACATTAGCAGCAGGGTGAAAGGGCTGACAACACAAATATTGAAGTTTGACATTTATTCTTTAGGGAACTAATTTTGGGCAGAACACTTATATTTGCATTTTATGAAGATTTTTCTGCTCTGGTGTGAGGATGGACAGGGGATCAGAAGCAGTGGATAAGTTCATTCTGTTGAGATTATCCAAGCAAGAAGTCTGAACAGAAGTACAAACAAGAGAGAGGGAGAGGAAACTTGCCAGAGAGTTGTAAGAAGAGTATGAGCCAAGGGGGTAGCCTTAGGAAAGAGCCAGGTGGATTCCCAGAGTTTATTAAGCATCTTTCTGCCAGTTTTTCCCTAGTTTTAACAATGAGAGCGTACATGCATACGGAAAGCATGCAAATAACTGCCGGCCCAGCAGCCTTCCTGTGGCGCAAACGGTTAAGCGCTAGCACTTTGAAGTAATCCACAGCAGCTGCTGCAGCATGAGTTCAATCCCCGGCCAGGGAGCTGACCCACATGGCACAGCTGACCTCTCCTGTCTCGCCTGCTGCTCCCCGCAGCAGTGTATCTCAGTCTGCCTGTTATGCTCCCCGATCTGTCTCTGGTGAATCCTCTCACCCGCCCGGTGCCTCTGGCCTGTACCCCAGTTCTTGTGTGTATAATATAAATAAGTGCCTGCCTGTGCTGCTCTGTGAGTGCCCACGATACGGCTCACTCATGGCATCAGGAGCGATGGCCTCCTGGACTGCGAGAGCCATGGATGGCATCCCCTTGCTCAGGCCCAAAACCTAGAGGTCACCAAAAAATTATGTCCATGACCCGACCTGTGTGCACTCTCTCCACCGCTGCTCCCTTTCCAAGCCAGCCTGTGGCCCTTGCCTGTTCTCTCACTCCTCTCCTGGGCCCCCAAATCTATTGTCCACACAACTGCCTTGTGGTCCTTTTAACCTAAAAATTGTCTCCCGTTGTCCCCATAGTGGATCCCCTTTGTGACCCCAGTGCCTGCCCCCATTGGGATGCTGCACCCCGTAACTTTGCAGGGACCTGCCCCCCACTTTTATTCTGGGCTCAGCCGTGTGATGGGCACAGTCCAGAGGATGCAGACAGAGGCTGGAGTGGGATTTGGATATAAAGGCCTTTTCACAAATTTGCACCCAGTCTCAGAGGCTGCTCTGACTAGCAGAACGTCACTCATGTCCAGAAAGCCCGCCGAGCAGGCGGCACAGGGCACGGCGCAAGGAGGGAGCTGCTGTGAATACGAGTGACCACGTCCTGGGCACCCGTCCTCCAGCTCCAGCCTGGCCTTCCAGAGACTGCCCTGCCCCGTCCTGCCCCTGCTCCTGCCATGGCCCTGCTGCCCTTCCCATTCTGTGGATCTCGGGGTCCTCTGAGGACCCCACGTCCCCTGGGCCCTTCCCCACCCACACTGGCCCCTTAGGCCTCCACCCAACCCGCGCAGTACTTCCCAGAGCTCGCAGCTGGCGTCAGATGAAAGGGGCCTGCGGCTGGTCTCTCCCATGCACCTGTCCCTTCCTTCCCCTGCACGCCAGACTTTGTCCAGCTGCCTGTGCTATCTTTGCCCGTGCTGCAGACGACCCCTTAGCATCATCTTTTTATCCAGCCTTGACTCCTCGAGAGACAGGGTGCAGGTCAGAACAACCTCCTCCTCTTCTGGCTTATTTCTCATATGCTGTGTGACTAGGAAACAGGGCCATCTCAGGCAGAGGCCGTGGCAGTGCAGCCCCCAGAGGCATGCAGATGCTTTAATGTGCATGTAAGGTCAGAAGAAAGCAGAAGTTGTTAGCAAGAAAGATGTAACACTGGGCCCAGCCTAGATTGTATGTATTTGTCTCAGCACCCTCTATTTGCAGAATATATTTGTTAATTATTTTAAGGAGGAAGGGTTAAGGCGGTGGTTAAGGAGGAAGGGGCCCACTGAGGAGAGTTGCTAAGCAAGCAGAAGCCATAGGATCCTGGTGCTTTTGAGGAGGTCCTTATCCTCTGTGGCCACGTGTGTGCTTTAACTGCACACCCTTTCAAAATAAGGACGCCTTGTTACATATTCTTTTCCCTTGCAGAAAATGTCTTCTCAGAAATGTGCTTTCAGAGGCTCATCACATGCAACAAAAACAGGTCAGTTGCTGCATTTTCCTCTCTCTGGTCTAGCATCGAAGCCATAGAGGAGGTGGGAGTGAGTGCCGCGTGTCACCTCATCCATGACAGGACAGTGGCGGTTGCCCTGGGTGGTGGGGTGGGTGTCACACGCGGGCAGCATGTTCACGTATTATCAGAGACAGGTGAGAGAGGCAGAAAGTTTGGCTCATTCACTGATTCACCTATGGGGTAAGGAGGGGTCTGGCTCCTTCCCCTTGCCAGCTCTGCATCCTGGGCAAGTCTCTCTGCCTCAGCTTTCTGGACTAGCAGCCGTCAGTACCAGCTTCAGAGGATGCGATGACAAGTAAAGGAGGTAACCCCCTTCAAAGCCTACAGCAGACTGGTGAACATTCTAGAATGGCAGCTGTCGACTGCACAGACTTCAGTGTCCACATTTACTGAGTTGACATCTTGACCTACTGGCCCAGCACTGAGGGAGCAGTGCACGGTTTAGGCGTTGCTGTGGGGCCAGCGTATAAGAGCAGAACAGGGGAGCCACTCTGTGCCACCGTCTCGTCATTGGTAAATCAGGGATACTAAAAAGCCTGTCTTACAGCGTGCTGTGTGGATTAAGTGAGCTAATAGAAGTGAAGCACTTAGGACAGGATGTGACAGCCGCTGCATGGTGTGTAGTTATTATTTTGATAATTCACCCCGGCCTTTCTCCTGGGTGGGTACCAATGAAGTTCACCATGCAGTGAATACAGGGCAGTGAGCTGAGGCCAGCTGTGCAGGAAGGACTGGTGGCTTCCAGTAGCTCCTCCTAGGAGGTCAGAGCAGGCAGGCTGAGGCTGCCACCCCCGAAGTGTGCTGTTATCTGTGACACGGTACCAGGAGCAGCTATGGCCCTGCTCTGTGGAGACGCACATAAGCCGGGCTGCCTTTTCAGCCGGCGCGCAGAGCTGGGCCAATGAGTGCTCCCTCTTTATCCTCCCCATTCCCCGAGAATGACACATCAAAGAGCATGTTTGCATCCTTACAACAGATAACAGCCCCGCCATGAGCTTCAGGGTCCACATGCCACAGATAGAACGAATTAATAATTTCACGTGTTTATAAAATATAAATTAACCCAAGAAAAGTGTAACCCCAAATAAAATCCCTGCCTTTTGAAACTCAGCAAAGAAAAACGCTGTGATGAACGAGAGGGCAGCCAATGTAGATCACGTGGCATCAGCGAGTTGGCACTGATCACCTGACCAGATCGTGCCCGACAGCTAGACGTTGGCAGGACCACAGAGCACTATTTGGAGGGGAGGAGGGGGCAGAATCCAGACCAGGGCTTTTTAAATTTTTTAATTATATTTGATGATCTGGCTTTTTTTTAACAATGGAAAAGCAAGTAACATGATCAGCAAGAATTCTGAAGGCTCTAGTGCACTTATATAAGCGCAGCAAATTACTCGTAAAAACCATGGCGCGTTTACCTTCGCTTTGTGTGTAATACGCCGTGTCTGTGTGCGGCCCAGCGCTTTGATGGTAAACAGCCCTTCTCTCTGAAACCCTGCCTCCTCTTCTCTGCTCTGTGTTGAGAGGTTTCCTTAATAGCCCAACTGGTTTTCCTGGAAGAGGAAGAAGAAAGCAGTGCAAGGCCTGTCTGTGTTAGACGTCTTTCTTCCCCGTGGTACCGTAGTGGCAATTTACATTCATATTCAAGGATGTAAAGATCCGTCCACCGGCTTTGCAGAGAGACGATGAAAATATAAAACAGTGAGTGTGAAGGGGAGAAAAAAATAAAATAGGATCCTATGTCAAATATACCACAGCAAAGAAGCAAATTTTTCAATCTGTTCTACAAGGAAATAATATACTGAAAATCAACCTTTCTTCCCCCCTGGGTCCCTGACCCTAAAAAAAAACCGATATGCATCTCTGCAAGAAAGCTGCAGGCACGGGGGACTAGTCATTACTGGATTTGAGAAGGATTTTGTTGCTGAATAGGTTTGAGGGAGGCTATGTATTATCTATGAGACATTTCCAAACATCATTAAGGACACATCATTAGAAAACATAGCAACTTTGTAACCTAAGGTTCTATTTTCCTCATAAAGAATTTTCCATTCAGAATCTTAAATAATGGTACTGCATATATACATGTATATGAATTGGGTTTTTTTTTTAAGCTCGATAGAAAAAATTAGATTGAAAAAAGAAGATGGAATCATTAGCATCACCCCCAGGTAAAGAAATGTGTGCTGAGATGGAAGACTTTATATGTAAAGCCAAGAATACTTATTTCCATATTGCCAAATATGTGAACTTTTGCAGTGATAATAGCCTTGACTGGAAAATGTTAATGACAGGAAGTCTGCCAGAAACATCCTGAGCTCACATCTCAGGGCTTGACAGTTCTCCCGGCCCTCTGTGCCAGTATACCTGCTTGTTGGCCTTTCCTAAATGCTCCCAGGTGAACTAGAAATTTCCCCCTGGGCAGCAGAGCCTGGAAGTGGTGTCCAGAGGACCCAGAGTTACCCCAGCAAAAGCCCTCCTAGCAACCCCTCAGCTTCAGAACAGCCAGCCAGAGATTTACCTGGAATCAGGCCCGTGAGCTCCGCCCTGCTGGGCCATCCTGCTCTTGGCAGTGCTCAACTGGGCAGACACTCAAGCATCTGAGCCGCACACACGAGTCACGTGAGAGCAGGGAGATTCTCTATTTGTCTCACCAAGCCAGTCCCACCCTTGCCACCAGCAACCCCCACGCCCCGAAAACCACATTGAGTACAGAATGAAAGAGCAAAGAATGGAGAGAACAGCAGCTACATCAGTGTGTAGTGTCTGCACTTGACAGAACCCATATGGCTGAACCCCCGTCACAGCACCAACATTACGTTGCTGGATTCCAAGCTGAGGTCCTGAGGAATGTGCCTTATTTGAGAACAGGGGCCCCATGAGGTGGCCAGTACATAAAATCTAACTTCTCTTAGAAATTCCGCTTGTGCCAAGGACTCTGCCTGCATTGTCTCTGGAAGCATCGGTGATTGCTGCTTTTGACAGAAGACAAAACCAAAGCTCACAGACATCGTTTAACTTGCCCAAATTCATGTGGCGAGGACACATCTGAGCTGGGTTTGAACACAGATCTTTAAGACCCTTGCTTCTAACCACAGAGCCAAACTATAAACTGCTTATCTACATAGATGAGTCAACACGGGCAGTGTGAAAAAGTAGCCATTTAATGATTTAACAAGTAGTGGTTTCATCAAAGTTCATATGACAACCTGATTGATAGCAATTGAAGGAGACATTACAGAGGCTCAGAAATTTTAATTTTCTTTTTTTGTTGAATTGTCTGATTGTACACACATTTAGGTTATATTAATGAACAGTGAAAACACAGGAAGGCACGTGGAGGGCAGAAAGGATGTATCATGTGATCAACTGATCTGATTCTGTGGTCATAGGGGTTTTCCTCCAGCCATGCAGGAGCCTATCGGTTAACCCCAGCGTCTGCAAATAGCAGGTGGCTGCCTCCCTCTGTGGGTAAATCAAAAAGCAATACTATTTGCAATACTAAGTGCAAGATCCTGAGACATAAAAATGACTCGAACGGAAAAACTAGTGAGACCCGAATCAAGTCCAGAGTTTAGTTAAAAGTAACATGTTGTATTCATTTCTCAGTTTTCACGAATGCCCCACAGTTATTTTAAATGCCTATTACACTTAGTGAAGGGAACACAGGTGTGTTATCTTTTCTGTAAAATTACTCCCAACTAAAAGATTTGACTTAAGAAACTAAAGTCAAATTTAGATATAAACAATGAGAGACAGAAATTCGAGAGCCAGCAAATCATCTTGCCTAGCCTCTTATTTCCAAAGGGGAAAACAAAAACCAGGCAGGATTATTTTGCAAATGTTTTTTACATGTTACTAATATGGTTACACAGATGTGAAATCATTGTGTGTATTTACAGAAAAAGAAAGATGATTCTCAAAGATTAGAAATATACATAGGTTAAGCCAATATCTTGCTTTGTCTGAATCGCTCTCTGGGGAGCATATCCTCTTGCCAGTACTTCATTAGGAGGGATTATCTTTACTGAAGTATTACAAGAATCTGCTACTAGACACAAAAGAAGAACTGAAAAAAATAGCAAAAAATAAGCATGTTCTCGGATAAAGACTTAACATCATAAAATTCACTTCTCCCTATAATAATCAAAACCTGTAAATGTAACAGGTTTTGAACTAAAACCTCCTATAGTCTTCGTGGGGGGACTTAGACAAGTTGATTTAGGTGTTCATAAGCAAGCAGGAGTAGCCTCAAAAGTTTAGGAGGGAGGAAGGGAGTAATGAGAAAGAACAAGCTCTACCTTGTTTTAAAATACACAATAAAACTACAGTTTTCAAGACAAGTGGTACTGGTATATCGCTAGGCAAAACAGTCAAAAGAATAAAACAGAAATAGACCTAACTCATGAAGTAATTTAACATACAATACTAATTTTTCAAAGCATTAACAAAAAGATGTATTACTCAATAAATGGCGTTGAGGCAAGCGGGTAGTGATATGGAGACATTACAAAAGGAGACTTTTTTAAAAGATTTATTTTTTATTTATACAATAGCTGAGATACAGGCCAGAGGCACGGGAGGGTGAGAGGATTCACCAGAGACAGAGTAGGGAGGAGCACAGGCAGACAGACCGAAAGCACTGCTGAAGGGGGCAGTGGGCGCGACAGGAGAGGTCTGCTGCACCATGTGGGAATCTCCTTGGCCGGCTGGGAATTGAACCCATGCTGCAGAGGCTGCGGACAGCTTCATAGCGCTGCGCTCAACCCGCTGCACCACCAGAGAGGCCCAAAAAGGGAGACATTTTTCACCTTGTTTTTCATCTCTACTGCCCACCAGAATAAACTCCAAAGGCATTAAATATGGAATCACAAGCAAAGAGACAAAAAGGTGGAATTCCCAACCTCTAGTGTCCATATTTCACAATATATGTCAATCAAACCACCTTGCTGTGCTTCTTAATCTTCACA